TCCATGAATGATCAGTTTGAGTAATATCTGCCACAAACTGGGAAATGAAACCAGTGAAGTGGCAACTTTTGGGTGAAGGAATGAAGCAGCCATATGAAAGTGGCCCTTTTGATGGAGATTGTTCTCCATCACCTCAGTGGTTGGGGTCAGCTTGAACTGGGACCATTTCAAAGATGTGAGATAAGGAGGAATAATCTTTGAACTCCACCACCGCCTCCTCTGTCCAGTCGGTGTGTGTATTCAACCTGAAGGTTAAGTCTCTGGGTGGTTCTCTGGTATAACTTCATTCTTATTGCAAATTCCCACTGTTAACTGCAGTGTGTTTTTGCCATCTAGGGTTCCAGTGTTAACATCATAGTTGTCCCAGTCACACGCCGAGATATGAAGATGTAAAAGCTGTGCATGGTTTCTATTTTTCTTGTATTTTGGATGGCCCTAAATCCAATCTGTGAAACCTCTCGAGCTAAATAATTCAGACCAGAGGGTTCCTTTATCGAGTGATTTCCTTATTACTGATGGTCTTTTCTTAATATAGACTGTAGAGGATTTTGTTATAAGGTGGTTTGACTGTATCAATGTGATAATACAGTAGGAATGCAGTTTTGCGTTGCTCTAGTTTGGGCGAAACTGCATAACTAACCTTGTAAAGTTCCCTTCCAACCCAATCGGCAATACTGTCATTAAACTACAGTACCATCATTATCACCATCCACTGGTATCTTTATCACTACCATCACAATTATGACCACATGTATCGCCATTTCCACGAATACATAAACAGTATATGTACTCTGACAGGACGGACAAATAAATAAATGGACGGACAGACGGACATTTTTAGTAAGCAATACTGTACCTGTTCCTCATCCACTGCACATATTGAGTCCAGCTGGTGTTTCCCAATTTTCATCTGTACAAGTGTAGGCGATTTCTGTCTAAAGCCGTTTCACTAAATCATAGCTGATGCAATGGTGGTACAGTGGTAACGCGCATATCTCGCCAATATGTCAAGGGCTCGAGTCTCGGCCCAGACAGTCGAGAAGGGTGTTATCCAGTGTGACCCTCACTACCAAACACCACAGGTTTCCCAGTCCCTAGTTTCCTCCTGTACTAACACTGGACAGAGCGCCCAAACAGCTGATAAGGTGGCGAATATGATAAAAAATTCCTGTAAGACTTCCCAGTCAGTGCTTGATGCTTCCTCAGATGAACTGCTCCTCTGCTAGTTAAACACAGCATCCAATGCACTGGGTAACATTCTTGTCATTAGTGGTCATTAAAATGGGTATAGTCCAAGAATTGGGTGTTGCTAGCAGGAGAAAAGCCATTCCTAAAATTGCTTTCATTGGTCATTTCTCTCTGGACCACAAGGAAAGGTTTGACACTGATTTATCCTTGGTGCTCTTCCATTAAATAAATGCCACTTTTTATCCACTTTAAGGGTGGTTTCAGGGGCAAAGCCACACCCCAGATCTGGCAGCAATCCATTTTTGTAATGTTGGGTGAGGGTACCTTCAGCTCAAGAGGCCAAACATTTTGGTGTCTTTCACAAGAATAAAACCCTCTGGGCTCCCAGTCTAATATTAAAGGAACTCTCGAGAATAGCTTGACATTAGATAATTTTAAACAGCCTTGAAATTTTTTAAAATGACCAAAAACAAAGCTTAAAATACAGTACTGTACATGTAAACAAATTTAAATTTATGGGAGTGAAGTTCAAGCCTTCCTTTCAGCATGCTCGATTTCAACATTTCAATTAGAATGCTAAAATTATGTAGATTCTGGCTTATTGGAATACTTCCCTGTAGGTTTAGTGCTGTACAATCATTTTCAGTAGTACCACATTTGGAATTGCTGCTTCTAGTCTGATCAGTTGTCTGGTTAGTACTTGGCTGGGTGACTACCTAGCCCTAACACCAGATGCTGCTGAGAGGGCCCTACTGGAAACCAGCTTCTCATGGCCTTGTCAGCTGTTAGTCACTGACTGAATATTAATTATTAAAGTTTGATAATGTAATACTTTGGTAATCCGTATAACAATGTTATCGCTATATAAGCTTAGAATGAGATTTGGACATTTTATTAACAGTAGTTTTGCATGATGTGCAGAAGAGCTTAAGACAACACCTATAGTATTTCCATGCTAACCTGGCCCATACAGCCACACCCGTCTTCTATACTAATAGCTGATTGGTTAATAAAAATTCACTGTTCACAATTATTGGTAAGCAGACCTTTTTCTAGATGTTAAATATCAACTATCAAAATGCAAATGATTTTAAGGCATTAGCACTTCAGAGAAGATATCAGAACACTTTAAATATTTATCATAAAAGGTCTTTCTAAATGCGTGCAGTCTGGGGAGGTATAACACTCCGCAGAACCAATCTGCTGTTTGTAGCTATAGACGAGGGGCATGGCTTACGGGCCAGGTTAACATGGTAAGAGTATAGTCAGTTGTCACAAGCCATAGTAACTGAACTTTGTTGTAACATAGCACTTGTGTGGGAAAAATGGCCATAGAATATAAAATATTTAATTGGCTATAGCACATTCATTCTTTCACCAACTATGTTACACAATGTGAATATTAGAGTAATAAGGTACAGTATTTAAAAGATCATGGATGCATTGAGGTGCTAGAGCATTATGCTTCCTTGAAACCTAAAAAAAAATTTTCTATAACCTTTTTCACTGCCCCATTGTCGTTTTTACTTCATCAATGTTAATAGTTGGGTAGTTCTGGAGAAGTCTTGAAACTTTTCTTAACCTTTGCATGGTTGGGAGGAATGTATTCATGTATCCCTCCCCCATAATTATGTATCTTGCCATGATTTTAGAATTCGTATCCCCTCCCATAGACCTTGGACCAAGGACCCATGGTGTTGCTATGTAGTAGTGGAAGAAATCTTGTTAAAGTATTGGAAAGAGCTACTAAGAGAAAGTGGTTAATCTTCAGAAACAAAGTAAAAGTAGGGGTTATTTTTTGTTAATTCCAGTAGCAAACTTATGACATACAATTACTGAAGGTAAAAGTACAATTGCAATAAAAAATAAAGGGTAAAGTATGGCTTGTAATGCATTGCTGATTCTGTATAGTATTTGACAAATAAGATAATTTGATTCACAGGTGGCTGCCCATAGCCTGTAGGTTTAAGATCCTAATAACAAATATAGGTATATACAGTGCAGTGTTCAATGGTCTGCTTTATTTGTCCCAAATATTTAAAAACCAATAAGGTTCCTAAATTTTGAAGGAGCTGATGTAAGGTGCCACTTGTTAGTTTGGGTAGACACAAAAGCACTTCATTGTAATACGTCCCCACAAATATGTTGCATGTGAACATCCCATTCTAATATGGCCAAAGGGAGTAGTTTTTTTGGTCATGTTGCTGAGGATGCAGATTGCAAAATGTATATTATTCACTGGAGTTGCTTGCATACAGATGTGCTCACTCAGACATGTACAGTATTCCCTTAAAGCTCGTGGTTTTAAAGGTTGTGTCCCTCGGAAACTCGCCGATTGCCATGGAAAATAAACTAAATCCGAGGCTGTGTTCCAGGGACAGTACAGGACAGTACTACTCTGTATTACAGGACCGTACAGAGCACCCTATAATTAGCAAGGTATATTTTGGAAAAATAATTTTTGCTGATTTAATAGCAAACTGTACGGGCAAAGCCTAATCATTGGTTATGTGCGATCATGTTCTCGCTACCACAACACGCTATCACTTTTTTGACTTATTATCCAAGGTTTGGCATTTATAAAATTTACCCGATTTAATACAAAAAGATACAAGTATAGGTACCTACTGTATACACATTACAGATACTTATTGGTACCGGGCATGTTCACTCTGTACTGTCCAGTACAGGGATTGTTTACATCCTGTGCACCAGATGAGCTGACATTTTGGAAGCATTGTCTTTGCATTGTCACTACCACAACTATCACTGGATCTAATGTCCATAGTGTTATTTCACGATTGTTTATCATTTCATATTTATTATATTGTCTTGTGCATACATTGTTATACATGTGCATAAAGCTATGTATGTATTGTGCACACTCCAGGGACTGGCATGAAAACTTGAGGATTTTGTTTTCTCATGGTCTGTTTTATTTAAGCCCAGCGGGCTTTAAGGGTATACTGTATATATGAAAGATGTGGCAGGAAGAGATGATTTGCTTTGACAGGTTAGGAACACTGCATATGCTCAATAGTTGGGACTGATTAGCTGGAAGCATGTTGCACACAGTTCTGATTGCTTGATAAAATCTCTTGCTTCTGAGACCCACAGAATAAAGTAATGAGGTAAAAAAACATAAAAAAAAGGTAAAGTAATTGTAACAATTGCCTGAAATGATACTCTAAGTATTGTAAATTCAAAAATAGTTTGAGCTTGGTAGCAAACTACTTTATTACTGCCCACCTCCATTCTATGCCCTTGATTGTGCCAACCCTGGAGGTTGGGAATTATTTTGCATATACCCACCTACCATTTTTTATGTTTCTAGGTTTATGTATTGATCCTTGATACTACAACTGTATAATTGTATATAATTGATGCTGAACATAACTAGTACTCCAGAATTTACTAAATATTTTGATACTGTACTGTACTTGGAACTCGACCTGTAGCTGCTATATGGCATACTGTGCTGTACAAACCTGGTGGAACTTTTTTGATGGTTACATTAAATTTGTTGAGCACATGCTTGTGAATGAGCACTGGCTCTAGTGACTCCTCACTTGGGTAATGTGGGTTGCTGCCTGGGCCATTGCCCATCTCTTCCTGAAATACATGGGTATGATGGACAGTAACTGGATTTTCATGTAATGGTTCATTGAAAGGAAAAAGCTCTTGCAACTCAACAAAGTTAGGTCAGGGAACATTCAAATTATATAATCATTCATATAATCAGACTACAGATTTAGCATGAATAAGATTGAAAATATTAAACCCTTGTGTTGAGTGCTGTCATTTTTTGTCAGGTCCTGTGATGTACACGGAGAGTTTGACTGTGGCTGGGAACCTCTTGGCCACCACCATCAATGGTGTGGAGTGGGATGACCTCTTGGATCTAGATTCTCCAAACCTTGTCTCGACAAATTACTACTTTGTTAATGCAGTTGTAACCGATGTAGTTAGGAGCAATAACATCAATGGACTGGATCTGAGTGAGGACGTGGTGGTGGTTGATACACAGCAGAGTATCACAGGTGAGTTAACTTAGTAAGGTTAACTTTGTATTAATTAAATACAAAGGTGGTCGGTAAAGTACCGTATCCGTGGATTAAAATGCCATTTCAATTATTTTAGTTTAGTTTTATAACCATTTGAGAGGTGTTGATGGAAAATTTGATAGTCTTGACTTGGGTATTTCAATATTACATTACTGTACTTAGGTGTTGAAGGATCTAACTTTGTATGTGCTCAGTGGAATGAGTGACTGATGGATGCAGTAATTTAAAGGAGCATTTATTTCAAATAAATTTTCATTGAAAACCAGTAACTTGTTGATGAGGTAGGTTTGTATGGTTTGCCATTTCTTAATTAGATGGGAAACCTTGGCATAGAATGACTACAAAGTGCATTTAAACTTGGAGCTACACGAAATGGTAAAAATACATTTGGAAAGACATTGAATGTTAAAGTAATTGGTAAGGATATAAAGGTTGTACAGGCATGTGGAAAATGGTCTGAAGTGAAGAGTATAGGAGGTAATTAAAATTTTGGTGTGGCAAGAGTAAATGTCGGTTTAAGACTGAATGGAGCACTGCCAGGTATTGAGTGATATGAATAGAAGTACTGTATTTTGTAGAGTATGGAAGGAAGATCCTACATTAACAGATGAACCTGTGGGCATCTACCCTTCAGTTTTAACTTTGATTTATGGAAATCTCAAGATTACATGGAACATGTCTTTATCATTTAGCTATCATACATCATTCTTTCATTGGTACAGTTCCAGGTTTTTCCATGCACCTGTCCATTTTTGTTTGGCTTAACTTACATGTATACAAGTAATTGGCAAGTTGGTTGCAATTAACCATTGTGGGCAATCTTTTAAAAGACAGTTAATCTTCCAGATTTGTAAAACTTGTATTGTAGTTGTCAGTGGTAAAGCCTTAGATCGTTTTGTTCCATTAAGGTTTTCTCTGCTATTGGTGGGAATGAAATTTAGTTCTATCTGCCTTCCCATCCATGACTTCTCATTGTATGAAAAGTTTATCATGTTAGATTCTAATTACTGTACAGTAAATAATTTGAAAATGTATTGTGTTCAAAACTAATTCAGTCATGTTCAACAGTTAAGTCCTAAAACTCCAGAATATTTTATGGATTGTAGAGGATATCAATGGTTGAATGATTCGGTGTTAATGCCTTGTTGACAGGTCGTGTAACATTCATGACTGATGTGGAGGTGACCGGGGCAAGAGGTGTGGTGATGGAAGATGGAGGTACAGTCAATGGCATAGACCCCTCACAGCTGTATCTCAAAACAGACAGCCTGGTCAACCTTATCATTGATGAAGAAGTTCACTTAAATGGTCCACTAAAAGTATGTACTGTATTGTGCTTTGATTTAGGAATCCTCTAAGGTAATACTATACATTGGAGTTGCTGTAATTTGTGAGTTAGGTGCCAGAAGACCTCATGATCTAAATTCCAAATTATAATTGTTGATTTAAACATAATTAATTTGGTTTTGGAGGCGAAGTGTTAATGGTTACATAACTGCTTTAATAAAACTTAACATCCATGAAAAAAATACAGTAAAATTTATTGTGAAAAAAGTAGTTGTTACAAACTGCCCCCTTCCCTTCTCATAATCCTCCTCTTGGTAACAAGATGAAACAGATCAGCAACGCGACAATGGATGGTGGCGCTGGCTGGTCAGCTGTTCATGCTGTACAGTATAAACTAAGTATATACTGCAAATTTAAAGTGCAATAACTTTCTGGAAAGTTGATTTATGTTTTTGTAATATTTATTAACTTGGCACCAAATGAAGCTAAATAATAAGGGAATTCTTGTGTACAAAATGTATATTCCCTTTGTGTTTGCCCTTAGGACAATTCTTTCTTTTACTTGTATTGTGTGGCTGTGTAGACGCACAAAATGCATGAAAATAATGGGAAAATCCTCGAATCAAATTTATTAAAAATGCGAGTCTACCCTCAAGTCTACTCCTTGCTTTATTAGTAACAAAGCATGGAGTAGACTTGAGGGTAGACCGTCATTGTTAATAAATTTGTCAATGATTATTTGAAGATTTTCCCATTTTGTCTACACACACACCTATATACAATACAGGTAAAGGAAATTACTGTCTCTAGAACGAATGGTCCCCTGTCCCGGCCGCGAAAATGTTGGCAACTTTAAAATTATCCGCAGACATTCTTGGGTTCATCCAAGGTGTCATCCGCAAATAAAAGAGCGAAATAAAAATCTGCGAATTATCCGGGCGTACAGTACTGTATACAATGCAGCAGCTGGCACTCGGCCATAAATTATGAATATTTGATTGTGTAATTTCGAGATACCATAAAGTTTATGAATGGGTGTACAGTATATTGCGACTCTGCTGTACATTCAATAATTTAATGCACACTAGCTGCCTTTGTAAAGGAAGTTGCTACCATTTTAAAGATTGCAATCTTTGCTAAAGTTCATTGCCATAAGAATGAAGGTGTAGAAATTAGTCTTGTATAGCTTTTGTACACGAAGTTAAAAGTTGTATAGGTAAAATTCTACCAAATAACAAAATGCAGAACATCTTTGTTAAAAGTACATTATTCATCAATTTAAAATGTTTACTTCCCAACCACTGGTGGCAACTATGTTAAACCTTACCAAGTGAATCCAGAGTATGCACAAAAAAGTGGCATCCTGAAGTGTAAAAGGGGGGGGGGGCGCACACTGGGGGCTGACTGTATAGGACTCGTATGCCGATTTAAAGTTATTATCGTTCATTCTACAGAATGCAGTTTTAGGGCCTCCTGGGAGCTCATTAACCCTTGTGATGGCAGTGGTTTATAAATGCATGCATCTTATGTGTCAGACAGTGATCGTCTCTAAAAGCGGGTTTTGTTTTGCGCCAATGGTTTAGTTTTCCTGCCTAGTTTTCGTAAAGAGATAGTGGATTGTTCTGGGAACTCGCCCATACATCTGGAGTTACTCGGTCACCTCTCGCAAGCATCATAATTGAATTTCTCGCCATGGAGGAAGTGTCTGGCAGCTACAGTGGTGTGCTGGGTGGAACCACCCTGCTCCGTCAGTGACAACCCCCCATGTCGGCGACTACTTGAATAACTATTCTTGATGTTGGTATGCAGCAGAGTAGTTCAGAAATCTACATGGTTTAATATTAATGTCGATGGAAACTTGGGAGCAATAAATATGCACACAGTAGACCCTTGCTGTTTGCGATTTGCAATTTCAACTATTCCTGGTAAGCAGATGGTGGCTAGCTTGTAATTATTTTCCCGCAGCACAGTCGCCCCACGCAGCATCTCGTGTTGTACTCGCAAAACTTAGTTTGTATGAAGCGGCCCCTAAAAGACTGCCTAGTATCAGTGCTAGTGGGGGTGAAATGTAAAAAGCAGAAGTCTGTGATGACCCTGACAAAATTCTCTTATAAGCGAAGTTAAAAGGGGAAGAGTGCTGCCACGGCTGGTCAGTTGTTTTGTATAGATATACACTGTATACTATACGGTAGTGCACCAAGGAATTTTAATTTGCTATTTGCAGTTTTGCCAATTTGCAACATTTCTTGGAAGCTATCCCTCGCAAATGTCAAGGATCTTCTGTATTGTAGACTCGACTAGACAAATTGGCAGAATTTGTATAAAATTTAATGTTTCAGTGTACTGGTGATGTCGTGGCTACAACTGTAAATGGTCTAGTATTGGATGCTATAGAAGACCGCTACTGGAGGCGCTCTGTGAACCAGAATATTGGAGTCGGACTCCACATTAATCGGGCAGAATTCCGGTAAATATAATAATTTTTAACAATGATCATGTAGGGCTTTCCATTGAGTTTTAATAAGAACTTTAATAACCAACTTGGCAGTAACGTTATTTTAAATTTTTAAAACATTTCCCTTGCTTAACAGATAGCCAATACAATTATTTTACCTTCGTTTTCCTTTAGTAGGCAGTTTTTATAGGATCTTGCTCTTGATAAAAACACTACTCTATCTCATAGGAATGTATATTGTAAATTAAATTCTCCTCCAGTGGTCCAGTGACTGGTATTACTATTAATGGCAATAATATGGCTGACTTTCTTCACACGTCTGGGTTCCAATACATCATTGGTCATTACACCTTTAAGGTTAGCAACCAAAGCATGCACTTTCTTCTTGACACGGAATATTTTTAATGCAAACCTAAAGGCAGCAACTGACAAAATGCAATATATTTGATTGGTGTGAAAATACATAACTTAAAAAAAGGTACTGGGTAGGTTTTTATGGTAACATACTGGTGTTCCAGGGGCCAGTTGTCGTGGAGGGTAACCTGGAAATGGAAGCTTACAAAACAGTGGACGGAGTGGATGTATCCGAGCTGGACAAGAATGTAGTGAAGTTGTTTGGTGAAGAAACCATTGAAGGATTTATTGTAAGTTCCTGGTGCAAGATAGTTATTAGATTCTCACATACAGGGTACAGTATTTATAAAGTTGCGTGTTCTTTTGAACTATAGCTAGTAAATTTACTTGCACTTATTGATAGAACCAGTAAGTTACAGTAAACCTGGGAGGCCAACTATTTAGATAGTTTTTTCATGGCCTCCTTGCCCCTTTCTACTTAATTTTTACTCTATATTTGTATGTTATTTAAATGGCACAAATCTGTACTTTGAAATTTATTAATGCCAATATTAGACATAAGATGGTTATTAGATAACTTTGAAGCTTTTAATTTTAGGGGATTGCTCCGTGCAACGTTGCTTCACCAGAATAAGGTCGAAAGTACAGTAATGTACTATACTGCTAGTGTCGTTTACCTCCAAGTCTGTAGTATTCCCTTCCTTCATACTTCCTAGCTGTCAAATTGGCCTCCCATAAACTGTCCTCCCATATTTAACATATTTTTCATGTACCTGTATGTTTATCATTCTTGCCAAACAAAATTCCCAAATCCTCAAATTTTTCAATCTTCCAGTATTTAATTTTTCAGTTTCAATTTTGGCGAGGTGAGGCAAGGATGCTGGGATGTTCACACACACCCGCTCACACACACACACACACACACACACACACACACACCTACCTACCTACCTAGATTATCTTTCCTTCCTAATGCTCTACAAAGGTGAGGCGCTTCCTCGTTTGGACTACTGGTACGGTCAAACCCGTCTGGTGCCTGCACTCAGGCTCCTCGGGTATCTTTAGATAATGTCTGCAGGTGGGGAAGGTAGTCTTTGATTACTTGTCAGTTGCAACCCTGCCTTACCAGCTGTTCCCACCCTGTTAGTTGGTGTTAGGAAGGACATCCAGCTGTAAAACTTTACTTCAGTATGTCTGATGGCAACCATCACCAGAGCTGTGCCTTTCACCTGATCTTGGCTGCATTTCCTGGGCTGGTACCCTGGGTTTATTGTGAGCAGAGAGCATCCCATTCCGAGTTTACCCAACTGATCCCATCAGGTAACCATGGCTAACCCATGCAAGCATGGAAAATGGCTGCGAATTGAAGCACCTCAGGACAAAATTGTACTCAATTGAGTGTTCACACCTGGAACTAACAAATACCTACCCCTTTAGAGAACACCACCCAAGGTTGAAAAAACCAGAATTTCAGAAAATTATTAGTGCAAACTATCTTGGAGAGTTGTGAACTCCTAGAATAATCTGCTAATGGTGTAATGGCACCAAGTGAGAGTTGTTTGATGACTGGACTTTACCAACACTGGCATAGGTTATATATTATCTAACCACTGCATGCCCAGTACTTGTCAGTGTGACAGGTTGATCCATAGTGAAGAGGATAAGGCAAAGTTAGCCACTTGGACAGCCCCATCTGTTTCCAGTATTTATGGTACAGTTGTGGAAATGTTTCTACACCCGCCACAGTATCCCTTGTCTCCAAACCTGTTCACTAATCATGTCTGTCCTTACATGTCCAATACCCATTCATTCAGGGTGATACTGTAACAATGCCGTTTGGAGACCGATTACCACTGGTGTTGGCACCCATTTCTGCAACTGTACCTTAAATTTCCTTGGAATACTGTCAAATTTATAATGCACATTTTGTGGTTTGTGCTCACTGCAAAAAAAAAAAAATTTGCATCTTCCAGATAATGTTGCCTGTTATTAATCCTTGCTCCAGCCCATCACCCTTAACTTTTCCTTAGTCACCCCACCTATAATTAGTACAATAATTACTTACAGGTATGTGGAACTCCTATGGTAACATCACACTTCCCTGGCTCTACTTCAAAGCTCACATTTGGCACTTTGTTTACTCCTATCTTTCTGCATTTTTTCTGTGGTACTTGCGGTTTGTTTGAATGTATTAGCCCCGTCTAATAGATTGTAATGCATAGATAATGTATATAGTCCATATTTATAGAAGTATCACGGTCTATTAGATGGGTTAACACATGAGGATCATGACCTTGTTTTGAAGGCATTAGTATTTTTCAAATTGGGGAGGTAAGTTTAATTTTGTAGGTTTTTTGTAATTTTAATAAATTGTTTACAATACAGTGAACCCTCACTTTACGCTGTCAATTGAACCCACTGAGGCCCGCGTAAAGCGAGAAAGGCGTAAAGTGAACAACATAACATATGGGATTAAATGAAATAGAGACCGGCTGACCCCCAAACTCCACTTTTTCCGACACAATACCTATGTTCTAGTAAAAATAACATTAATTTTATGATGGTACATGCACACAATTAATACTTTAGAGAAATACAGTTGCCAAGTTAATGTCCATTCAAATAATGGACTCGACTTCCTCCACCTCTTCTCACACTACACTCGCTGGCTCTTCCCTCTCAGAAATTTTTTGGGGAAAACCACTAGATTTTAAGGTATAGTAATAAATAATACCTCAAACTAAAGTTAGGATATTATAATTGACATTGCTGGATTCCCTGTAAGACCAGGAATATTTTGAAAATAAATGTCATATTTTGCACAAAAGATAACATATTTACTCGGAGTAAACAAAATACTTACATTGGATCTAAAATTAGTATGTCTAATGCAAAATCTATGATGTTTATATTCACAATGATCATCAAATTGTAAGAATTCCAGCAATGTAAATTATATTCTGGCGGGGTAATTTGTATGAATTTTATGAGCTAAAACAAATATCTTCAATAAATAAACAAAATATACTTACCAAAATACTATGTCAATCAAAATACTCCACCTCCCCCCTCTTCCCACCTGCTCCCTGGGTCCCTCCCTCCATACCCCTCACCCCCACCTTCCCTCCCTACCAGAGAAATGATTGGGTTATAACAGTATATTTACATTTTGTTATAAATAATACTTCAGACTAAAGTTAGGATAATATAATTGACATTGCTGGATTCCTTGCAAGACCAGGAATATTTTGAATATACACTTCATATATTTATCACAAAAGATAACATATTTTCTGAGTAAACAAAATACTTGCATTAGATCTAAAATTTGTATGTCTAATGCAAAATCTATGATGCTTATATTCAAAATGATCATCAAATTGTAAGAATTCCAGCAATGTAAATTATCTTCTGGCCTGATAATTTGTATGAATTTTATGAGCTAAATAAAAAAAATTATACTTCACCCGCGTATATGAGCAGATGCACTGTGTAAAGTGGGAATTCCTGTTCTGGCAGGGTACTGCGTAAACGTAGAAACGCGTAAAGTGAAACCGCGTAAAGCGAGGGTTCACTGTAATTCTAAATAACTATCTGATTGTGCCGAATTTATTTTGGGCATGCAGTATTTTGTGTAAACTGTTGCATTAATGACAAATAACTAAATTGCAATGTCTGAACATAGTAATTTCTTGCACTCAGTCCTTCACTAGTGCATTTTCAGGGGCTTGTCATAAACATTCCACAGGTCATTCCATATTGATGTTTGTTTTAATATCGTTTTGCTTTAATATTGTATTACTTTGATTCCATAATGTGTTGTCTAATGGTAGACCTTGCTGCCATATGGCATGACAAATTTTGATGGTCCCAGGTTGTGGTTCTACTTGCCGCCTCATTTACACACAATTGCAGGGTCTCCATTGAGGTGCTCGGCATTACAAGGGGGTTAAAGCATCTTTTTTGATGGATGTCACTATTTTTCACCCTTCCTCTAAATGTTGGTGTTGGATGTAAACACACCCTTAGGTAGACTAGAAATATGGTTGAAAGTCCTTCAAAAGTAGGGTGTCATTTTGCCTTGGGGGCCTGGAGCTATGTATCTGGCTGTGTGCTTGGTAAGTAAAGGTGGTCACATCCTGTTCAGAATGAGCGGAGCCATTTTTATCAAGGGCAGAGAAAGGACTTTGAACAGTATGGGTTGATTATGACGAGGCCATTAAAGTTTTATGAGCTCCTCAGGTTTTATGTAACTTCAACTTGCTATGATCGTCGAGGATAACAAAAACTAAAAGTAAGATTGTACAGTAGGTTCTCAAATTTTGCGAGTTTTTAATTCAGCGATTTTTTATTTGGAAAAAAAACTAGACAATTTCAAATTTTGACGGCGAAACTCGAATTTCGGAGGGTTTGAGCGGCCCGCCAAAGTTCAGGCATGCACAATCGTGTAAACAGCGTCATTTATCTTGTGTACGAAAGATTCATTATTGTTTATTACTGAATATCTTTTTGATTGAATTAATGTTGTGTGCAAAATGAACAACAAAATTCATTAATGATACGTAGAATATTAACACACTAGGAGACGAGACGGCATGGTTTTCGTTAATGTTTGCTAAACCAGTGACTGATTGGTTCTACTTATAAAACTGAAGAAAATGAGACCCTGGTTGTAGCTATAGTAAAATTAATGTAAAAAAAATTAATATGGTTGTTTTAAGTAATGTTATTTAACATTAATAATTGGAACAATAGGAGTAGCTAACCATAAATGGTAAAAAAGTAAGACCGTGTATGTAAGTGCGCACATGTGAAAACATATTGTCATTACTCTGCAGAAGAATGCAAGACGTTTGGGTTTTTGGTGATCATTAACTTGTCTTACAGTATTGGCCCACAATAATAATAATAATTTTGCAGAAATATGTGATGTTTGTTTGAAGATCAAACGACCATACATGACGGGGAGTTCTTCTCATTCAACTCCCGATAAAATAATTATTCACATTACTAACTTCCAGTTTTCACTGTTAGCGAGGAGAGGGATTGAGTTGCATAATTATTTTTAATTATAATTATTTATTATTATTCATATTATAGTAATTCATAATTTATTAATTATATTTTTGCCCCATGGCTGCCACTGCACAAAACCTGACTAGCCCCTGTAAGTGCATTAGTGAAGGGGACTGTACAGTTGTACCCCACTTAACGCGGTCAATTGAACCCAGAGGGTCCCGCGTTAAGTGAAATCGCTTTAAGTGAACAACAGAACATATGGGATTAATTC